GCGGCAGTGATCAGCTTTGGCGAGACTGTGTTGCTTTGTCAAACTCCTTTTCCCATGCTCTGATGAGGGGAGGACAAAAAGCATAAATTTGCAATGCAATTTAGTCGTAGCTGAACTCTACCAGGGCTGATAGAATTGCATCTGATTCGACGCTGCAAGTGCTTTCTAGCCAGCAGAAGCTACGAGAAGAGGCACATAGTACTTTCGATAAAAGTTAATAATCCGTGATGAGGTTGGATGTGGTTTATGCTGCAGAATATGTGTTGCAATTTTGCTTGTTCAACTGGTTGTGACTAATCCAAGATCCTTGAAATGCTAAGAAGGATAATCTTCGTGAATAGTTTGTAGAGTACACTCATCAAGCATTTTCAACAGTAAATGGGATGGTTCCTTCTGTCTCACTTCTAAGGTACCTTGACAGTGCATGATCTCCCTAACTGTTTGAAATTTCTTCTTTCCGAAGGTATAATGCATGTGGCTTCGAAATGTACGGATGTTTTGAGGCCTACAGCTTTAAAAATGCCGACGGGAATACTCTCGGCTCCTGAAGCTGTGTCTTTTTACATGCCTTCCATCGCACTCGAACTTCACAGGGCAAAATAGCAAACAATTTGTCGCCAGTGGGAACTTCGACATCGCCAAGGGTTGAGAAGCGCAAGAAAATAGTACAGAAGCTTTCTCTCATCAAGTCGATATTATGGCAGTAAGCAGTGCTGATTTTATCGTCTTTCATCGGTCAGAGAGCAGTACGTGGCAACTCCAGGAGTCTGAACGGGCATTTCTCTAGAATACTAGAGCTGCTTACAATAATTTTTTTTGCTCAGACTGTTGTAAATTTTTTTGCAAAGATGTTCTACAGCCGGCATTCATTATCAGCTCAAATAGACGTGCTATAGAAGAATCTAGCCTCAAGTAACCTCGCTTTTTAGAAAACTCCTTAACTGTAATGGAATTACGATCTGAACTTTTTGTTTGAAGAACTGATGCTACGGCAGAGGTTCAAGTCCAACAACAATCAGCTAACAGTCTTTACTCAGCTCTTCAACGTCCAGTGATATGAATGAGAATCTCATTGATAACATGCTCGTCGTATACGACTTATTTTGCTTATCTTGGGCGATAACAGCACTTTATTCCACTCATGGCTGAGACGAATCTTCGCAAGTGGAAGGCGATCAACAGCTCCCCGCACTAACCAGACCAGGTACCAGAAAGGTGTAAAAGAGACATCCTTCTCTGTTTGTAAGAATATGATCGTTTTTTACATGAGTCCTATCGTTAGGAGATTCCCATGTTTATTGGCGGCTTTCTCTCCCAGCCTCGAATAAAGTGTATAGGTCATCAAGGATGCCGTTCTTGTGCTGCAAGTGTGAAGTAAAAAGAATTTACGCGGTGTGCCTTGTACCCGTTCGCTTCTTCCGATTCCAATGGCGTCGCATTAGGTAGACTCGAGAGTTGGTTACCTCTCAATGGTCCTCTCACCGCACAACGTTGGGACACGCAGAGTACGGAGTACTGAGTATAAATATTGCTGGTTCAGCCATTTTTTGTTCCATGTAGTCTCTAGGCCAGATTAGTAGGATTTTACCTTATCATCTCACTATACAGTCATCGGCTCTTCTAGTCAGGAGATTTGTCACTTTGTGAGTAGTTAGCCCCAAGGCTATAGTGATTGCTAAAATATTCCGCTCCCTAGTAGAAACGTTGCACTACGTCTTAGCTAGGTGGCGTGCTGGGTGGATATACACTTACTGTACATCACAGTCCGACTTCAGGAATACCTTCAATTCGCAATGGGACCGCAAGCGTTTGGGAGGTAAGCATTTGGAAGGAAGACAGTTTGTGAGTTTATCGAGATTACTGCTTCGGCATCCGATTTCTGATCGATGAGTTTTGTCAAAAGTACAGTTTATATCAAATCAATTATGTAGAGCGAAGACGCGTGTGGCGCAATGAGTGGATGTGCTCCGCATCACACATGGCTGCTGATTCGATCCTACGCCTGGTGTCTGCCAAGCCTTCCACGCTCATTTGTCAATAGATGAGTATTAATGTTGTCTGGAAGATTAGTAGCACTGAATCGATAACCGGTTTGTCACTGCGGATTATAACAAAAGTCAGATAAGCATTCAGTCACCTTTACCGATGCTTCATGGAGCCGAATGCATGGTGAATAGCTTGTGAACTGACTGGCGATGAGTGCTTCTCCGTTATCCTTATTATTAGAGGTATTTGACGATATTTGACAGCATGTTTGAATATTTTCATGAAGTCTGTTATGGCACTTATAAAGTGTAATATGCGTGATTCGGCCTTGCAGCCTCGCCAGTTTCACGTTGCCATTCGTCTGAGCCAACTGCTTTCCAGGGAGAACCCCATTGAATAAAGGACTCATCGACGAACATGTTACAGTGTTGCGTGCAAAGGTAGATTTACCGTGGGCAAAGTGCGTTTTCACTTGACACGCGACAGTCTAACATGTTCTTCGGCAATTTTTCTATGACAGATCTCATGAAAGTCTTAAAATACTCTGTCAGGATGCATTAATTCTAAGAGAGTTCTTGAAAAACAGTCAAATATAGATATATTCGAAGGTATTCAGTTACTTAGCACTAAAAGCAATTATTCTAAGAGCGAGTGCAAACGGAACAAAATTGCAAATTATATGGAGATTTCTGAATACCCTAGCATGTTCATGAGCCATCTATATGCTCATACCGCATGCATGTTCTTCTAAAAAAAGCGATTATCCTTCACTCTGTCCGTCAAGCAGCAGCTATTAGAATTTTGAAGAATGCAGTTAGATAAATCTACGTAGTCGCACAGTACTTAATACATAGCGTATTCAAATGTACCATCACATTCAGAGATCCGAAGTAAAAGCATGCATAAATGTGACATAAATGTGACCTTGAAACTAATCACAGACTAGATTTTCTGAGAAGTTTGCTGTTTGAAAAAATACTCAAAAACTCACTGTGGCCATTATTACCGAAGCAGCAATGTTCTCCGAGTGAATATGCAACGGGATAGTTGGCAGATTTTCCATCTGAGAATTATACGAGTTTTGTATTAGCAAAAAATCAGCTCTTTAGCTCGCTAAGTAAATCACGAGAAGCGATTAATGGTCAAAAGAGAAGTGAACGATCTTCAGTTGTATAATCCAAACCCGCCATTGCACCTTAACCACCTGGGAAATATGAAATTGTCACAGTTGAGTATAAAATGTAGGATAATGAAACTACTAAGCATTATTAAGAAACATGGGAAAGCTATGGCTAAGTGATTGTTGGTTGGCTGCAAGGAATCTGTCAGGTCATATATATGTAACGAAAAAAAACGAGGAAAAATATAGTAGTCGCAATACGCAAAAGACCGACCGAAGACGCAGCTTCAAAGATGTGATACCGTCAAATAGTAGTGGTAAGGGATTGATAGATCGAAAAATTCATAACTGATGTAGAAAAGCCACCTGCTAGACGTTGCTTTGTATACCGTCGGCAGCAATTACATTCCTGATAGGTTGGTTGCTTACTTCGCAAATGGAAATATAATTTATTCCATGCACTTAGCGCTAGCAAATTACAAAGATTCCCGTGAAAAACATCCAATATTTGACGGAGGTGAATAAAAAGTCACTAAATTTGTGAACACTGAATTTACGTCTAACATAACTGCATTAAGATAATGCTCATTATATTATTCAGATAGGAAAGGTGACATTAAAAGAAAAAATTTTGCGAAAAAATTTTACGATCTTCGCACAAGACATCTGCGAGATGAATAACTCATTAAAATTATATTTCATGGCATTCTGTGCTTAATTAGATACTTGGATGGGCCGTCTTCGCTCGTAGTGTGAACCATAAAACGCTGCCCCTGTTATTCTCTTCCCAAGTGATCGTGGTCTGTGATGATGGTCCGCTTTAGCCATAGTGACTTAAATGAGACGCTGCGAATATCGGTCTTTTACATAAGTCACAGACACTTCAACCTGCTGGGTTGCCGCGGAAGACACCTTCATTCTATTCGAATCCTCTTCATAGTCGCCCACACACCTGCGTATGAAGCTCTTTTAGTCTAGACCATTCAATTTCACGTTAGGATAATTTTTACTAGATCGACCAACATCACCATGGGCACTTGCCAATCTTTTGAATCAAAAAGTACTTTCCCAGCCAATACGGCATTTCTAATTAAGAATCCTCCAGTGCCAGGAAAAATAGGGTATTTGCTCTTTTTAACAGCAGATAACAATGAACAAGGTTTATCGAGATCAAAAACCATAGTTTTATGCCTATAAAACTATATAAACTCCTTATGTATAAAAGAAAAATAATTTCAAAGACGCTACTACTTGTCCCTCCCCAACTATGCTTTGAGGATATCAGCATCTACATTCGATTCGTTCCCTTTCATTCAACTTCCGACAAAACCTTCCAGATTTTTTCGCGTCGCTTTAACTGCCTTATGAGGATATCGTCTTCTTTTTCGCTCAGGAAGATAAATTTATATGCAGTGCTGATTTGGGATCACCACCTACCAAATTCTATCGACATAATATAGAACGATGCTCTTTGTCAATTTCAAATGTGATGAATTGCTCTCATGGGAACGGAAGCTGCTTCTGTTGTGCCACAAAAGTAACTAGATGACCTCAATTATAAGACATTCGCGATTGATGAAGATAACTGAAAATTGTTGTGCTGTAGGTGATGGATGAACGGATTATGAAAACAATCAACCTAGCGCGTACTCAAACCGTTGCACTCCCGACGCTTGCTTTGGCACCGCTCTTTCTACGCCACAACGCATCTATCTGTAAGCAACCAACCGTCAACGGTCTGGCGTGGGTAGTAAATATAGACATTGAATCCAGTCACGCTGACAGAAAGTGGGTATTGGATGACCGACAAATTTTTTTTTATAGAACCGCTTTTGGCAAGGATATGTTATGATATTATAATATACCCAGTGATGTAGAGGATGTGCAAAAGTTTCGCGTCAGTTGGGACTCGAACGCAGGTTTCACCCTGCTCGGGTGGCGTGTGCTCGAACCGCTGCACTACTGACGCCTTCGTACACGCGCCCCGAGTAGGGTGAAACCTGCGTTTGAGTCCCAACTGACGCGAAACTTTGCACATCCTTTACATCACTGGGTATATGATAATATCATATCACTGCCAAAAGCGGTTGAATAAAAAGAATTCTATTCGATCTATTCATGGTCAAATATCTAACCAACGAAGCTATCCTGAAAACTAGGTTCATGGTGATCATTCATAAAACATTTCTGCGCTTAAAATCGAAAATAGTTTCATCTTTGACTTATGACTCAAAGACTAGCCTTCTCTTCTCCTCCTTTTTATGACAATGTGTGCGTCTATTTGTAGAAATTTGGAGTGTCGCTGTTGTTGTACATTTTCGATGTCATTTTTCTGTGATAACCCGCAATTGATCTAACCTTTTCAGTGAAATAAAAGTCGAATATGACAAAATTTTTGCTGTCTTCTGAGTTGTCATGTGTAAGGGCTGCTTTCAAATTTTTTATAACGGCGATGAGAACGTAGAGAATGACGAGCGTTACGGGCTACGATGAAGAGAATTTGGAAGATGTTAATCCTTTTATAAGAATGTGTAGCTCGGTGGTAACAGGTATTCTGCGACACACATGATCGATCAGTCGATCTCCGAGGGTTTGTTTCTGCGCTAAAAGCTCATTAAACCGTCCAGCCATTCAGGATCAGTGAATTGATAACAGACTTGTCTAGGAGGATAGCAACATTAATTGATATATCGGTATGTCACCGCGAGTCAATGTAATGGCCAGTTATGCATTCAGTCGTCACAAAGAAACTGTAGATAGAAGACAAATGCATTGCGCCCCCTCAATGATTGGTCACAGCCAAGAGCTTTATTTTTTCATTCTTTAACCGTTTCAAGACCACGTGCATTTTTCGGTACTCGCGTGTCTCGTATGTTTCACCCGTATGTTCAGATTTTGGCGCATGCATCAATTGAATAGCTCAAAATTTCTCCCTCGAATTTCTGTCTTTTCTGCCTATAATTTTTTTTCGAAAAAAACCGAGCCGAACATTGGGGCGGTGATCTCAAGAAACCAGTTTGCAGAGTTTTCACTTCCTAGTGAATACCGAATTCACAGGCTTTGATGTACATACATATCGATCGAATTGAGTAAAGCTAACGATTTGAACAGTAAGCTACGATGTGTCTTCTTCGAATGTCTTCTTCCTCTTTTGTCTTCTTCAGAGACAAGTCCATTCCTCTTGCTTTTTGCAAAAGTCGAGCCAGGTACCTCCATATGAAGAATCCTGGAGGAGAGGGTCGAACAAGGAAGTACGTTGCTTCCTATTGACTTGCATCATTAATCACTTCACCATCTCTCCTTCAAATGATCAGATAGGAAGGAAAGCTAAGAAAAAATGCAGTGGTCATGAAAAACAGAAAGCAGAGAACCCTAGTTGTAGAGCTGACACTGCCCATTGACATTGGTTATGGCGGGGTTAAGCCAAAACTGATGAAGAAAAATGCCACCAGAGATCGCTCTGTGCCACAAGAAATGACACTTCTCATTAAATTAGCTTCACAACGTCAAAGTCACATTTGAATTTACTTTAAACATTTAGCGCTAGTGAACTATAGAGTTTTCAGTGAAAAGCAATCGAGAAAGAGAAAAAGTGGTTGCTAAATTGGCCCTCATCAACCCTCTGGCGAAGCCATGTGCCCGCGACAATACATAATTTTCTAAAGCCCCTTTCACTGGAAAAAAAATTTCTTTCGAATTTTAGTCAATATTTGAAAACTGGGGACGCCGTGGCGGAGTGGCTGTGATGTTCGCCGCGGCGCTCGTGGAACCGAGCTCCACCCCCAACACTCTCCGGCAGACAACATGAACACCCTATGAAACGCCACAGCAAGGCTATCCTCGATACTGCAAGGTGACAAGTTCGAGCAGTAATCCATGTCGCTCAAGAAGAAGACGAAAAACGAATAGATTGCTAGAAGTATTGGAATGCGCACAATAAAAATTGTGATTGCTTCAACGTTTTAAAAAAAGTCCTTTCAATGAAAGTGCGTACAGCAGCTTCTCAAAATTCAAGCTTCGATTAGTTACTAACACTATAGTGGGAAGTTTTTGCCTAACGAGAAATTCTCCTTCACAAATCCCCGCTGAATAGCGGAGAGAATTTTTTACTTTTCTACTTTATAAGAGATTTTGTCCGTGATATCAACTCATTAGGAAAGATGTTGTCAACAACTGAAAGGAAGAATCTAATCATCAGGAGATCTCATTGAAATTAAGCAACTACGCACACGTACCGCCAGTATTTCCTCATATCTTTTTAGATGAGCACATTTTTATCGTTCTGTGAAAACAGTTCTAACAACTACGTTTTCAGTGACATTACCCTGAGAATCTCGCTGCGATTACGCAGTAAATTTGACTAGTCTACGGTGAATGAGTAAACAATGCCTTTACAACTTTTTCAACTTGAATTTTGATAGCTTGTTCAGATAGTTTCTTGATTTTTCCTAATTTCAAAGCGCGGAGCACGTGTGGCGCAGTGGTTGGAGGTCTCCCGCGATACACACGTGGTCAACCTCACGCACGAAACTTATCATTGCACTGGATGAATTGCAGAATTCAAGTTTGAAGAAGCGAATGCTTCACAGTCGGCACGATATGGACTTAATCAAGTATCAGGCTAACTCTTTGAGTCAAGAGAACTCATTTATCGCAATCACTATGAATAGAACCACATGCCTTATGCAGGTGGCCGCGCTATAAAATTGAAACCGTGGGAGTTTTTGAAGGGCAAGGGTTGGTTTATCCGCCAATTACTTACCAAATTCTGAAGTATTCGTCAAATCACTGTATATAACAGCATATCTTCTCTGGGCTCTGAATATGGCATAGTCATCAACACGTCAAACACTAAAAGCTAAAATACACCGCAACGATATCTCTTATCTGGTTTCTAATTATTGGTATCTATCTTACACTTTCATAATCGTGCATTGATAACAATAGAGTTTTTCGACCACGTTTGAGGTTTATATCAAGCAATACTATTGAGTTATGTTAAAACTAAAGCGAATCGAGTGTAACAGTAATAGTAAAGCAGCATACTTTGTCCCTGAAAAGTTCTAATTTACTATCATATGTGGTATAGAACTTTTGAATGACAAGTCCTTCGTACTCTGTATTCACGTTGGCACTGTTACAGGCACTCACAAAGCGTTTTTGCCTAATCGCTCATTCACCTATGGAAGAACATGGGCTACCTGCAATGAATATAATCTGGTTAGGGACAATAAACAAAGTAGAAGTTTAGGATTTAATGTGCTAAATGTTGCCGAAACAATAAAGGCGCCTACCGTTGGCCGCTTCTTCCATATATGAGACAAACGAAAGTGGAGCAGTACAACGATTAATCTGCAAATTGCTTACTCCTGTACAATGATTGACTCCTGAACATTTTAAGTAATTTACTTTTCACTTAAACATGTTATGGAATAAAATTAAGAACCACATTGTTATGAGCATTAGAAGAAGACAAGTGTACCACTCGCTTTCCCGATTCAGTCTTCAAGGAAGAAAAATAAGGACAACAACACTTGTATTCAATAGCCTAAGACAAACTTCACCTTCAGATTGACTACTTTTACGGTTTTAGACTCGAAACGGCTTTGAGTACTTTTCGTTCAGAAGAGGAGAACTCATCAAAAGCACGAAAGCGACCAAAAAAAGGTAGGACGCAGTCGGAAGAACACGGCGAACTGCTCGAGTACTATAGCACCAATGTTGAAGGTCAATATGTCAACTTAACGCTGTGGAAAAGTAATGAAGGAGAAGGCCATAGCTGTAGCAAAGGAAAGTTGGTGGAGAATTTGTGTAATCTGACTTAATTTGGCCACGTGGGACTCGTATTAGTTGCTTGCGTTTCGAAATCCTCTCGTATTTGAATTATTGTTTATCTTTACGATTTTACGAGTATTTTATTTATTCAATTATTGATGATTTCATGAATTTATCTTTATGATTACAGTACAATACCAGCTACACAAGAATACAGAAAATATGCAAGAGAAACTGTAGTGAGCGGGAGAAAGAGACAGAGTCGGAGTGAAGCCTAGAATTAACCCTTGACCATTTATATACATTTAACCAAAAGACGGGTTTTACGTTAGAGCAAAACAAAAGCAAAGCTAAGATTAGAGACTCCAGAATAAGACTGAGAGAGCATACGTTCACAATTACTTCACTTCAAAAGTTCAAATACCAAAATAAGCTGGATTCCGTGACTAATTCAAAAGTACAAAGAGAGGTCATCAATGTCATGGTAGTCACGAGACTGTTCGAACATCAGTCTAAATTGTTTTCTATTTTGACTGCCACTTGCAGTGGTATGATCTTTATAGTATACCCAATATGTGGAGTACTGTGCAAAAACGTCTGCCTCAGCCGGGATTCGAACCCAGATCTCACTCTCTCCGGGAGCGTATGCTAACCGTTGCACTACCGACGCTCGTTTTGCACAGCACTCTTATTTACACAGTAACGCGTTGTCTGCCAACAGCCAACCGTCGACGGTCTGGCGGGGCAGCCGCTATCAGCATTGAACACACTTGTGTTGACAGACATTGGATATCGATAATCAGTCTAAATTCTTTCTATTTTGACTGCCACTGCATACGCTCCCGGAAAGAGTGAGATCTGGGTTCGAATCCCGGCTGACGCAAATGTTTTTGCACAGTACTCGACATACTGGGTATACTGTTCGAACTTTTACTGTAAACATGATTCAGCAGTGGAAGCTTTAACCGTTTTCGATGCACTATACATAGATTTACGAAATAGAATATACGGATTAAGTGTAACATCATAAGTCAGTGATTTACACTTGAGAAAGGGTAGACAACATTCGTTATATTACGCAGAATGTTGCCTACAATAGCGACGCTTAATGCCAATACACCATTGCATCTGGGGTGACGCAACCCGAATTTATCCTTAATTTCCACTTCTACCACTCGAATATATCGCATGTAA